TGAGGCTTTTCTAAGGTTCCTCTTAGCCTGTGGATTTTCATTTCTATATGCCTGCCTATTCAGAAACATCTGTTCCATTCTCCAATTATACTTTAACTCAACAGCATCTAACAAAGGCAGCTTTATTCTTGGATCATGTATAGAGATCATAGTCTGAAGTGGAATAAACAGAATATTGGCCTCAATGTGAGATAATGCATACCTCTTTTCACTCTTCAGAGTGAATGGGGGACTCTCCATTTCCCTGAGAGCAGCCTAGTCAGGTGATATTGTCCCATTTTATAAATGACAGCACCATAGCTAGAGAGGTTAATGACTTACTCAATATGCAGAGGAGACTTTGGAGTTTGTACTTCAACCTGGATGGTTGGAATCCAGTTCCATTGGCTATTCATTATAATGATTTATTTTTTCTTAGAAAAAAAAAAAAAACCTTTTAGAAGAGTACAATCTAGTGATAGAGAATGAGGAACTATATAGTAAGTTTTTAAAAAATATGCATGTATTTCCTGCCCACTCCTGTGATTTGTTCTTGATTGGGTACATAGTAGCTTTGCCTTAACACTGTGACCCTTTTTCTGTGTCCATCATAATAGATGAGAACACCTTATATGAAGAATGCCCATGAGTTTGGTACATTGGAAACTAATACCCTTGAAAGGGGTCTAGGAGAAACCTGTTTCTGAGAGGATTCCATTGCATACAAATTATAGACTCTCAGAGTTGGAAGAGACAGTATGAGTCATCTGGTTCACCAGGTATTTGGTGGTTAAATTTTTGGTTAGATCTCATATGAATCTTTAAGTTGTGAAGTGAGTTTGATGAACAATCCTTGTTATTTTGCATGACCCTTCATGGCCTAAAAATAATTCTTTGTTTTACCAAACTAAGTAAAATGCTGACTATTCCAAAGAAAAAGGTTTTTTTTTGTTTTGTTTTGTTTTTCCCCCTTGGGTCATCTGGGTTTTTGAGATGTTCTTCTTGAAACGTTTTCCTTGCAATTTGTTACCTGTTAAGAAAACTGCATATTTAAATATCTATTGAATGCTACTTAGTAAATGTAATTTTCAAAATGTGACTAAATGATGGTAGTTTTATTTTTAGTATGTATTTTATTTTGCCATTCTTGCATTGCTATAATCTGTTTTTATTTTCTGTTTCTCTCTTTAAAGCTAGATGCTAGTTTTTTTTCCCTACAATTGTTAACCATTTACCTATGTTTTGTATGACAGGCACATGTGATTCATGTGAATGTTTCCAGTTATTTTGTGCTTTTTAGCCAGAGATATGGAAGAAGAGAGGGACACTCTGAGATTAAATATTTTAGTGAAAGTTAATGGATGGCATATAACAAGCCTGGGTACTTGAAAATTCAGTAAGAAGCAATAACTGGGGCTGGTTGTCTTCCCTCTTTGCCTTTGAATAGAAATGCATGCCCACACTGATGGGGTTTCAAGTGCCTGTGCTGTAGGATTACTTAGCAACCTGCCCTTGCAAATCTCTATCTTGAACCAGTGTTTCTTAGCATTAAAAACAAAGGGTATATGCTTAAACCCTGGAGTCAGTGTACAGAGCTCTAATTTCTCACTGAAAATCATGGGTTACATAATATTGTGGCCAGGAGAGTGCTTACAGGAAGTTTTAAAATTCATTAAGTTGATATATGGTAGTTCATAGTGCACCTAGGAACATTACATTATTAGTAAGAGGCGCATCTATTTTAAGCTCTTGGGAAGGTGTATGTTTCAACTTAACACATTTGTAGTTATATTTGAAATGAACACGTTTGCCTGTAAAGACTCACATAGTATCTTTAGTTCCAATTTAATGCTAAGCTTATTCTGTAGATCCAAATATTTCTAAGAAGAGCCTTGCATAGAGGCACCTGGAATATTCTGTTACAAATATCTGTTCAGTCTACATAGCTTCTCCACCTTAAGTGGTTTCACTGGTCTGTTGCAGGGAGTGGAGAAATGCTGTCTCAGAAGGCCAAAGGATTAACATTTTCCCCTAAAGTCTTTGATGGAAAGTCTAAGACCAGGAGAAGAAGAGTAATAACGTAACCTATCATTATGTAATTTGCAAATTCATGAAGGGCTTCCATATATAAATTGTGTGCGTGTGTGTGTGTGTGTGTGTGTGTGTGTGTGAAACCCTGTGAGGTAACTGTAACAGATATTATTGTCCCTGCTTTTTAAATTAAAGGAGGCAAGTCTGGGTCATAGGCTAAGTCATTTTGCCATTGTCAACTAGTAAAGTGGGTCCTTCTCCCAGGTATTAGGATCTGAAGTTCTTTGCACTGTTGACTTTGTTTTCCTCAAACACCTTCCCCTTGAGCCTGGAGACCATACCTTTCCATCTTTTATTTAACTTTCTTTAAGTGGCTGCTGGAGGTCAGAGGTAAGATCAAGGGAGTAACAACAGAACAGGTGTGCCTATTGGAAGGCTGAGATGTCCTCAGAAGCAGAACAGGATGGACGGGCTTTCACGTTGTTTATTCATTTGTCCCTGGCGTGACACTCCTTTTGGTGAGCCGCCTCGACTGTTCCCCTGGGGGATCGCCTGGCCATTAACATTCTTCCCCATATTTCCTTGCTGCTGCTCTCTTCTATGTCCCATTGCTGCTGCTGGATACCATGTTGGGCACAGTGAATCCTAGAGCAAGTGATTTTTTTCACCCTTCTGTTGAAGAAAGTCAAGGTTAAAACACAGTATCTATATGGTGGTCAAGTGCAAGGAAGGAGTGACTATGGAGGATCCCTGTTCCCAGATAAGATACCTTCTATTCCTCAGTTTACACTAAATCATGAGCATTTGTTCATGTCTTTTAAATATCATTTGAAGACGTTTTTCATGATTCTGCATGGTCTATCACATAAATTTAGCAACGTTTATTTGAAGGTTATATTTTTAGTATTTAGGTTATTTTCTAGTTTTTGCTGTGATGAATGTTGTAGAAAAAATTAACTCTTTGGAGAAGAAAACTGTTGTCTATTTGAAGAGATACAAATCTGGTTTAAATGGTTTGCCCTAGTCATTGATTCATCAATACATTATAACAGTCATTTATAATCAGGTAAGTACATGATTATTTTTCTGAAGTAATATAATAGTGATGTTAGTTTTATTTTCAGATGGAGAAATGAGTAAAGATGGTCAATAACAGGAATAGGTTTCACAATTACATCGCCAGCATTCTGACCCTAGAATTTTACTTTTGGTTTATACTTTTATAAAAGGTTGGTGCAGCAGAATTTTTTTCAGTGCAGCAAGTTGATACGTAAATGTATAAATTTTAAAACTCTAAACCCAGTTGTAAATAATCACCACTTTGTAAGAGTCATTGCATCATCAGCTGGCTTATGTATTTTTGGTAAAATGTACTCATCAAACATTTGAGCTTGACTTTTTTGGTCATGCATGTAGAAGAGGTTTACCAATTATGAGCAAATTAGTAGAAGCTGAAGAACCAATTTTGGATTTCTTAGAGGTTTATTTCCTGGACCTTCTGCCTTCAATTTCTTGTGGGTGTGTGTGGATGGGTAGAGAGGAATAGGGGGAGGTGTTAGAGGTTTCCATAAAGCTGTCAGTCCCTCTCCTGATTTCTCAGTAAGACTCCCATCTCCACCCACTGTCCAATATCCAGACACAGCAGGCAATGAGAAGATCAGCTTTGTTCCTGATGTTCTTCCTCTTCTGTCTGGATTTCTTTTTTCTTTTCTTCTCTGGGTTTCTTTTTTTTAAATTCAGTTTCTTCTGTGGGCTTCTTTTTTTTATTCATTTTTTTCTCTGGCCTTCTTTTTTTTACTTAATTTCTTCTCTGGGCTTCTTTTTTTAAATTCAATTTCTTCTCTGGATTTCTTTTTTATATTCAATTACTTCTCTGGGTTTCATTTTTCTATTCAATTTCTTCTCTGGGTTTCTTTTTTCTGTTCAATTTCTTCCCTACGTTTCTTTTTATTCAATTTCTTCTTTTCCCGAGTGACCAGTGCCTTTTTTTCCTATTCAAACTTCTTTAACATGGCACCCACCAAGACCCATATTTTTGGGAAGGTCTCATTGTCTTTGGGATAATGTCTTTGGGACAGTGTGTCTCATTGTCTTTGGGAAGAAAATTATCTTTGATATCCCAGTCAGCAGGAAGTCACCTGACTTTACCAAATTTGACATTATATTTTCCAGGTGCATTTGTTTTTAAGAGTGATCCTGGCCAGGTGCCGTGGATCATGCCTGTAATGCCAGCACTTTGGGAGGCTGAGATGGGCAGATCACAGGTCAGGAGTTCAAGACCAGCCTGGCCAATATGGTGAAACCCTGTCTCTACTAAAAATACAAAAAAAAAAAACTTAGCCAGGCATGGTGGTGGGTGCCTGTAGTCCCAGCTACTTGGCAGGCTGATGCAGGGGAATTGCTTTGAACCCAGGAGGTGGAGGTTGTAGTGAGCCGAGATTGTGCCACTACACTCCAGCCTGGGCGACAGACCAAGACTCTGTCTCAAGAAAAAAAAAAAAGTGGTCCTGGCAATGTCACTGTCTTAAGCTTACTTTGATTGTGTGGCTAGCTCAGTGCAAGGGTTCCAGCGTTCTGTTCTACTTTCGGGCAAACTTTGATGGAGAGAACCACTAAGTAAAAATGGAATTAGGAATTCATATAGGGTTTTTGTTTTTATTTTTTAAAGCAGGAGGAGGCCTTTAGCATTAGAAAATAGTGTTTTTTCTTCTCTTAATCTATGGTGGCTGAAATGTGTGAGCATAGGCAAGTCTGACTTAAATGAACTCTTAAGATGAAATCATACATAATTAATTGTGTGTCTCTGCATTCATTCCAAAGTGATGGCTGTTAGTATTCACACTTGTGACAACTTATGTCTCTTGAGTATAAGAGCCTTAGGACAGCCAATTAAGGAAGAAGAGGCGGTTACTGTTCTCCTATGTAACCTTTGTGCTACTGTAATGGGATGCATAATTATCTGTTTGTTTTTTTTTTTCCTTAACTTCCAGTGCCTGAAACAGTACATGCAGCTGGCAATCCGAGAGGGATGTGGGTCTCCCATCACTTGCCCTGACATGGTGTGCCTAAACCACGGGACCCTGCAGGAAGCTGAGGTATGGATGACTGCCATCATCTTCCTGTTGACATTATTTATGAGGATCTTGACTCCTTAGGTATTTCCCTACCATGGAGTCTAGCAACAAAATAGAGGTAAACTTTTTCAAGGAGCACTTCATTGCAACATACCTTTAGATTTTTTATACAAACTGGTGAAGCTGTCATTTATCTCAGTTCCATTTACATATACCATCTCGAGTGTTGAAGAAGCTTTAGAATAGACAAAAGTACCAGAAATAAAATTTACCAAGTGTGAAGTTTGGAGGCCGATATGGTTTGGCTATTTCCTCACCCAAATCTCACCTTGAGTTGTAGTAATTCCCACATGTCAAGGGTGGGACCAGGTGGAGATGATTGAATCATGGGGGCGGTTTCCCCCATGCTGTTCTCCTGATAGTGAGTGCTTGTGAGATCTGATGGTCTTATAAGGGGCTTTCCCTCCTTTGCCTGGCATTACTCCTTGCTGTGGCCGTGTGAAGAAGGATGTGTTTGCTTCCCCTTCTACCATGATTGTAAGTTTCCTGAGGCCTTCTCAGCTCTGTGGAACTGTAAGTCAACTAAATAACAAGTCTTGGGTATTTATTCATAGCAGTGTGAGTATGGAGTGATACAGAGGCTGAATAGTGAGTGGTCTTGTAAATTGTAATGCCCTAAAGATAAATAGACCATGGGTTAGCCACAGTTATGGAAAATATAAACGATTATGATTCCACAGTGATAGCCTGAGTTGCACCATTTCCGAAGAGCAGAGACCTTTTGGAAGAGATCAATTGATCTGTTTCAGGCATCTGAAATGTCTTTTTTTGAGTGAGTTCTCTCATTTTGTTAAGACACTGATTTTTCTCCTTTTGTTTGTTCAATCACCAGTTATTGACTTGCCTTTAAATCTGCCTTTTAATCTTCAGACTCTGCTCACTTTAAGTTAGAACATAATGAACTCTTATTCATTCTCAGGGGATTTGTAAGCCTCTAAATGACATTCCAAGAAACAGGTGAAATCAGTTATTCATTTAGCAAACACAGAACACCTGCTTTGCACCAGGCATCCTTCTAGTTGTTTTCATTGCCAGTATTCTATCTAATCTTCTCAACAGACCTCATGAAATTGGGTGTTGCTTTCAGGTAGGGAAACTGAGGCCCCAAGGGTTTAAGTAATTTACCCAAAACTGTGTATCTAGAAAGTAGAAGAGACAGAATTCTAATCCTATACTTTTTGACTGCCATAATTACATGACTTTAAGAGTAGCATTAGATTGGCCAGGTGCTGTGGCTCACACCTGTAGTCCTGGCACTTTGGGAGGCCAAGGCAGGAGGATTGATTGAGTTCAGGAGTTCAAGACCAGCCTGAGCAATATAGCAAGACTGCCCCCCCTCCAATGTTTACAAAAATAAAAATTAGAAAATTAGCCAGGCATAGTGGTAGATGTCTGTAGTCCCAGCTACTCTGGAGGCTGAGGTGAGAGGATTGCTTGAGCCCTGGAGGTCAAGGCTGCAGAGAGACTTGATCACACCACTGCCCTCCAGCCTGGGCAATGGAGTGAGATTTCATCTCTTAAAAAAATATTGGGGTGGAGACGGCATAGAATTAGGTGGGTAGATAGAACATACGATAAAAGACTTAATAATTGGCAATAGGGTGTCGATTTTAGATCTTTCCTTGCTTGTCATGTGGGCATCTATTGCTGTATATTTTCCTTTAGACACTGCTTTAAATGTGTCCCAGAGATTCTGGTGTGTTGTGTCTTCATTCTCGTTAGTTTCAAAGAACATCTTTATATCTGCCTTCATTTCATTGTTTATCCAGTCAACATTCAAGAGCCAGTTGTTCAGTTTCCATGAAGTTGTGCAGTTCTGAGTTAGTTTCTGAATTCTGAGTTCTAACTTGATTGCACTGTGGTCTGATAGACTGAGGTCTGTGGAGGGGGGGAACTAGGGGAGGGACAGCAGGGGATGGGGAGTTGGGGAGATATAACATGGGGAGAAATGCCAGATATAGGTGATGGGGAGGAAGGCAGCAAACGACATTGCCATGTATGTACCTATGCAACAATTCTACATGTTCTTCACATGTACCCCAAAACCTAAAACGCAATAAAATATATATATATATATGACTTAATAATTAGAAGCTCAATTGTGTGTATGTGTGGACACACATGTAGATATGTGTATAGATGTACATACTGTGTATAGATATATATGCAATATAGGTATAGATATATTTACTGTACATGCTTCATTGTATATATAGATCTCTATACACTGTATATAGATATATATACTGTACATGCTTTGTTTATGGATATATGCTTTTACATATATATCCTTTGCTTTGTAAGCAAAGCAGTCAGAAAGGTAGTATAGACAATTTCTAACCAATTTGTATCTAGGCATCCTGTGTTCAATTTGATTAGTGGATGAGTGGTACAAATGAGATATATGTGTTTTTTAGGGAAATAGAAAAGGAATGTCTAACTGTTTTGAAGTGATTTATTTTAAGAAAATCATGGAATAACTTCTTTGGTAAAAAAGTAATATCGACTATGTAAACCCTGCAGAGAGATATATTATTGACTTTTGTAGGGTAAAAGCTATACTGGAGAGAAATTGGACTAGTTACTAAGAATATTGTTGATCTGCGTCACTGCAAAATTGTTTTAAAAATGAGACTTAGGTTTTTGGGTACATCTTTGTATGCATGATCCTTCCAGGAGAGAAGCTTCCTTTTTGACTTGCTTCTCAGGTGTCTGATGGGTCAGCAAGTGTGTCTGGCCCCATTCCAAGCTGGGCTGGAGAGGATAACAAGACAGGCCCACCAGTGCTCTTCTTATGGAGCTTCTGGTCCAGCAGAGAAACAGTCAACCTAAAACGAGTCAGATAATTATAAAAGTGAAATGCGAGAAATGGACAGGCAACAAGAACTGTCTCTGCTGTGAAATCTTGGTGAATTAATACATATAAAATCTATGAAATGTAAATGAAATGAATAGCTTGGTGAAATTTCAAAACAAGCCCATGAAAGTCATCGGATTCCTGCATGCTAGACCTGTGCTGACTAATCCAGTCGCCACTAGCCACATGTGGCTATTTAAACCTAGATTGATTTAAGTGAAATGAAATTAAAATTTAGTTCAGTTATGCTAGTCAATAACTGTTGAGTGATGAGCAGTCACATGTGACTGATGATTACCAGACTGGGCAGTACAGAATAAAGTATTTCCATCAGTGCAGAAAGTTCAGCTGCATAGTGTTTTAGAATTTTGAGTAAATGGTAGCCACTAGGCACTGATGTTTTGAGTACCTAATGTTAGGTAGGGCCAGTGTGCCTAGGCAAGTGGATCAGGACTGGCTGTAGTCTGCCTGTCAGTTCTCTAGAACACAGCTTAGGTAGTCTTCTCATTTTTTTTCTTGCTTTCTCTCTCTCTCTCTTTTTTTTCCCTCCATCCCCATCACCTATATCTGGCATTTTTCCCCATGTTATCCCTCCCCAACTCCCTCCCCCGACATCCCTCCCCTACTCCCTCACAACAGACCCCTGTGTGTGATGCTCCCCTACCTGTGTCCATGTGTTCTCATCGTTCAACACCCACCTATCAGTGAGAACATGCTGTGTTTGATTTTCTGTTCTTGTGTCAGTTTGCTGTGAATGATGGTTTCCTGGTTCATCCATGTCCCTACAAAGGACACGAACTCATCGTTTTTGATGGCTGCATAGTATTCCATGGTGTATATGTGCCACATTTTCCCTTTCCAGTCTATCATCGTTGGGCATTTGGGTTGGTTCCAGGTCTTTGCGATTGTAAACAGTGCCGCTATGAATATACATGTGCATGTGTCCTTATAACAGAACAATTTATAATCCTTTGGATATATACTCAGTAATGGGATTGCTGGGTCAAATGGAATTTCTATTTCTAGGTCCTTGAGGTATCACCACACTGTCTTCCACAATGGTCGAACTAAAAAAAAAAAAAGACAGGGTTTTCCTCTATTGTCCATGCTGGAGTGCAGTGGTGCAATCACAGCTCACTGTAGCCTCAACTTCCTGGGCTCAAGCAATCCTCCTACCTCAGCATCCCAAGTAGCTGACACTACAGATGTGTACCACCATACCTGGCCAATTTAAAATAAAAATTCTTTTTTTGAGGAGACGGAATCTCCTTATGTTTTCCAAGCTGAGTTCAAGCAATCCTACTGCCTCAGCCTCCCAAAGTTCTGGGATGACAGGTGTGGACCACAACACCTGGCTTCATATTCTTTGTATAGACATTTTCTCCTTGTATTTCCCCCTTCCTTTGTTCTCCTTACCCTTTCCTCACTCTGTACCTTCTCTGTCCTTCTGGTTCTCTTTATCCAGTTTTACTCTAATAGCAATTTTACTTTTAGGCTGTATTAAAACCAGACAAACCCAAAATGAGTCTTAAAAATTACAAAAGGATATTAGAAAAAAAAAAGAACAAAAACATGTTCCAAACTAAACTGTGGTACTTCTTAAGTTTTCAAAAGTCTTTTTCTCATTAGAGGAGTAGGAAGACACTTCAGGGCATTGATGAACTATTTCTTTGCTCATTGTTCTTGCTAAGAGTCTGGCCATAGATGGGCGTAAACATATAAGAATAAAATGTTATCTATCAACTTGCTACTGTTTTTTTTTTTAGTGATAAAAATATATGTGGTAGTGGTGCTTGATAATCATTTTGAATTGAGAATGGAATAGAAGATTATATTGGAGATATGGGTAGCTGTGTCAGTTTACATAGGCCTCCTCCTTTGAAAGTAAATACCACACACGCATGAATTGGACTGTACCCCCTTCTTTTCTAACTTCCTTTGGATCAAGATTTTATTCTATATAGTTACTACATGTGGCTTATAATCTCTGTATTATTGTATACCACAGTGAGGTTCATTTATATATGCTTGACTAGGTTCTGTCTCCATGACTACTACTTCCTTCAACCTTTAAATAAATGTTTAATTACATAGGTGACACATA